CACCAATGCAGAGTAGAGGGGGAGGAGAACCTCTCTTGACCTACTAACCACCCCCTTTCTAACGCATCCCAGGATGCCATTGGCCTTCTTGGCCACAAGGGCACATTGCTGGCTCATGGTCATCCTCCTGTCTACCAGGACCCCCAGGTCTCTTTCACCTACACTACTCTCCAGCAGTTCAGCCCCCAACCTGTACTGGGACATGGTGTTGTTCTTCCCCAAATGTAAAACTCTGCACTTCCCCTTGTTGAATTTCATCATGTTTCTCCCCGCAAAGTGCTCATGCTCCTAATTACTCCCTCCCACTTAAGTGACACGAGTATCTGCTTTTTATGACAAGAAGGGCAGTTAAAGAGAAAATGGGATCCCAGAAAATTTCAGTAATGCTGAAAACTCTCTGAAAGATTAAAAGCTGAAAAGAGCATCAAGGCATCACAACAAAAAACATCTGCTTTTCAAAAGTGGCCAGTACTGGGCAAAACCAAAATCATATGGAATTTTCAGTAGGACCTGATCTGGAGTATTTATTGGACAACTCTTAACAGTCCCAGACTCCAAAAATTATGCTGTTACTCTTTAGTTCCCAGTGTTTAAAAGCCTCTTAATATCTTCCTGCCTCAATTAATTCAAAGACTCTCTTCACTAGAAAGGATGACCAGTTCCCAGGTACTCATTATCCTATAACACTTCAGTAACTTACCTGTCAACTGAAGGAGAACATAACCCACCACAACCCAAGATCACCAATTACCTCCACTTGTCACTTACTGCTCTAGCTGCCTCCAACTATCAAGTGCTATTTTATTAATAGTTTAAAAAATGAAGATATTAATGGGACTGTCTAGTTCATTCCCACCTTTCAAGGTATGAGGTTGCTGAATTTTAACCTGCCCCTGTGTTTGTCGGGAGAGAAAAGACTCCAAATGAGAGAAAACATGACAGTCCCTAATTAATTAACCTTAATTTTGGTACTGATTTTTTCAAGTTTCCATTTCTATGCCTCTGCACCTGAGCAAAATGCCCCTAATTACAATTTCTTCTTGTGCAGGAACCCCCAAATACATCTTAAGGCAATTCTTGCCTAACTTCCTCTTTGATAAACCATGTTAAGCTCTGAATACATTATGGTGCATTTCTACTGGAAGAAACCAGATTCACACATTTCCAGGACAGATTTTAGGTAGAAGAAAAACTCTTAAAGCCATTATAGCCTCCTGTAGCACAGCAGGAAACCTTGCACAGGCTGTCAGCAATCAATTCTTCATGCCTTCACCATACCCCAGGAAAGGAGCAAGTCCTGTGCCCAACATAGACACACAGGTGTTAAAAAGATATCTTCCTATACAGACAAACCTCTAAATAGTCCCATTTTCCTAGTTCCTTGTCTTAAAGGATTGAATACTTCCAAGTTGAAACCATTTCCTTTGCAGGGTACCTATGGGGATGCATAACCACTTTCACCTGTGAAACCCTCAGACTTCAGGAGCTACTTATACACTACAAACAAAAGAATAGAGTCTTAAGTTTCCCTGACTTTTGATTTTTCAAAAGGTCTTGGCTGATTAGACTTTTTTTACCTCTTATCTATTTAGTCATGCATTGTGCTCAAAGGGTCCTCCACATGAAGGCAACATAACTCCAAGTAGCTTCTGGTTTTCTGTTTTGCCCCTAAACTCCAAAAGCTCATTTTGTCAGTGGGAGAGACTCAGACTGAAAATACTTTTCCCCTGATGGTTAAATCTTTTCAGAAAATGTGCAATCCTCTGTACACATCTTTACAGCGCACAGAATTCTCCCTTGTTTCAGGAGTTCCTCTCACTTGGTCTCACTTTTTAGAATCCTTTCTTTTTAAAATAAATAAATTAATGTACTATTGCAGTGCCAGAGAACGTGTGTTAAAATGCTGAATTCAAAGTGACTCTTTAAAGCTGTTTTACTTGCTCTCCAACTCTTCCACAGCTTCCTGCTAAGTTGCAAACCAATTATCTGCTAATTCCTAGGCACCAAAGATCATCATCATCATAGCTCACCTTTCTTCTATTCCAAGGAGGGACATCAAATTCATTTCTGGAAGGAAGATGAGGCTTATTAGGGAGAAGGGATATGCAAATGTTACCTTACACACTGATGTTTTATTTTTAGCAGCTCGGTGCTATTTATAAGGCTGTGAGGAGCAGATATATGGCAGCAGCAGGATGAAATATCCCAGGGGCAGGTATGAAAAATCTCCACATCTGCAGGGCAGGACAAAAACCAGGCAGTGCTGCCTGGAGCTCATGAAAAAGGGGAGAAGGCAAAATGCTCCAAGGACGTCTTCTTAAAATAAGAATGTTCTCAAAAAACAAGTAAATGGGGGGAAAAAAAGAACATATAGACCCTAAATTTTAGCTCATCCTGTATATTGCTGATTATTAAAGGTATTTCTGTGAAGTGCTGGAGCAAATTAAAAAAAAATAAAAATAACTGAAAACATTCAGCACACTTTGGGAAAGCATTGAGAGGAGTTTCACAAATTAATGCACCATTATAGAAGTCCTTTTTCTAAATTTCTTAAATGAACTTAAGATACCCCCACTTCATGCTTCAGTTTGCCAATCTGAAAACAATTACTTCTCAAAGCCACACTAAAGAGACCTGCTATCTTCAAGGAACAGGCAAATAGTTCCCTGTAGTTGTTCATACCTTTGCTGTAAAGTCATCCCTAAAGATGCAAACAAAAAGTCTTACATAAAACATCAGAATAAGTTGGACCAGAAACTCAACAAACAGTTAAAGCATCAGGAGAATAATAAGTGTCAAATTCACCTTATGCCATTTCTTAGAATGGCTTTCTGGCTGGAGAGAACACACATTCACCTAAGCCTTAGACCATAATTTAAGGTAAAGTCCTTGAGCAAAAGTGCTCAAGAAAAATCTTGCTCTACTTTATATCCTCGTGGTCTTTTAGTCCCAGATATCCCAGGGACACTCACAATGCTGCAAGAGCCCAGGTGACAATGAAAAACTGACACAAGCCAGAAGAACTGTGTGTCATCTGATCCGGGATCTTCAAAACTGCCTATGGAAAACTACAGCCTCTTCCTTACCCTGGTATCTGCAAAGCAGAACAGACTCTTCAGTCCCACCTGCAGGAAAATTTGTATTAAATTGCTTTTTGTCATTCTGTGGAAATGTGGAACTTTCAGGACTTCAGGGATTGTAACCTGGTCACTCTTATTGGTCACTGCCATTTCACTAAAAAAAAAAGAGTAAAAGCTCCCAAAGAACTATCAAAACCTGAACTACCTTGAATGGTTGTGTTGGTTTTTTTAACTGGAGAAAAAAAAATATGGTGTGTTCCACTCCATAGATATTATTCTCTTCCATCCTGAGCACAAAGTACAGCAGAAACCAAATCAATACCTATTCCAACATAAAGGTAATGCAAAAATAATTTGTTTCCTAACCTACTATTCCAGCATTTGGATGGTGAATTTATCAGGACACTTCACTGGAATTAACTACATTATTCATTCTTTTGGAACCAAAGCTGATGGAAAAGAAAATAGAAAGGAAATTTTAAAAGTGTATGAAAGTCATAGGGACTTAGATTTATAAAATAACTGAGGTTAGATGAAAAAAACAACAGCACCATCTAGGGGTTACTGCATGTTCTTACACAGGTGGATACTGAGGACGAGATAAAATGGCATCTTAGGTGTTGTATTTTTTAGTTTTGAATTACTCTAGTTGGAATTTAATCTTAACTACAAGATCAACAGTAAAATCATAGCTTAAAAAAAAAAGAATGACGCCAAAAAGCTGTATTAGACTTTGGATGAAATCTACTTACAGTAGCACTTCAGCACCAAAAAGTGGGCAGTTAGGCTGATAGATGTATATACAATTAAATGATATGTCAAAAGTCTTAAAATGCTTAGTTATTTATAATGAAATCTATACAAAACAGTTAAAAACGTGTTTTTTATATACATTTGGAAAAAAAAAAAAAAAAGGAAGTATTGTCTTCATAAGCAGAATGTATTAAAACTGGTTCTTTGATCCCATCTGAACCCAACCCCCCTCTCTGCGGCTTGTAATTATCACAAAAACCCAATGTATTGCTTCAACAAGCCAAGTCATAAGGCTAATTTTCTGAAACCTACTACTGTATACTGATTTCAGCTTTTAAACTCCCCCCCCCCCAAATGGTCGATTTTAAAAAAAAAAAACAGCATGTAAGAGTAAAATAGTTTTAAAAGCTTCTGCTCACTTCTAAATCCAAAGGTTCAACTTGCAACGACGCTGAACCACTTATCCCCAATTTTGAAAAACTGATTTATAGCAAAATACCTTCCCCTCCACCCCGCCCCACCCTGTTTGTATTAGAATTTACACACCTGCCTGTTTCACAGGAACTTTTTAAACAACTTTGCCTCACTTAAAATTTTATATTTAAATAAATAATCAAAGTTTAACTAGAGCAGACGAGCATTTCACGTGCTTAAGGCACATGGAAATGCCTCATACACAGTTGCCCTACTTGTAAAAGCATGAAAACAAAAACCCACTAGCAAATCCACTTTGCTACCAGTTAGTGATTTTGCTTATTTCCAAACATTCACCAATAAGAATTTAAAACAAAACAACAAACTAGATTTTTAGGCTTATGAAAAAAAATCTTAACTAAGTGAGAACAAGTGCAAGAAAGAGAACCAATTCCAAAATTCCTGGGGCTTTTCCAGCACTGTCAGAGACACTTTTTCTCTCACATGCTATTTAAAAATACAAATATTTATTAAACATTCTTTTTTTTTCTGTTTTTCTTTTTTGGATGCTGTCTTGCTCAACAGCTAACAAAAAGACACAGCAAAGTCATGATCCCTTTTCACTGAAAGCTCATTTTCAGTATCTGGGCAAGGGTTTCAATAGCAGGAGCTGTAGGATTCGCTGCAGATTTGCTTTTACCAGGAGTACATTCCACTGTCACAGGTTTCCTAAATCTCAGTAACTACATCTCTTTTTTGTTTTCTTTTTCCTTTTTGGAACCATTTTTAAGATGCAGCTTTTGCAATCCCGTCTTGTTAAAACACACTGATGCTTCAAGGGTCCAATGAACAACTCTAATCGGCAAAGTGCTCTAAGACATCACAATACAAAGGGCATCTTGGATAACTCAAAATCCCAAGATATTTTAAAGTGCACTCCAGTGTCCCAATTCCTTAGGATTGTTCAGCAGAACTTCGAGAGGGGCTGGGCTCAGTGCCATCCTCAGTGCTACTGTCCACATCTTGCTCCATCGCCGTCTCCTCGTCGTCGAGGCGCTGACTGGTGAAGTTGTTGAGCTCCAGGAGCCCGCTGGGTTCCACTACCACATTGGAGCTGGAGTGACAAGGGATGGAATAGTGAGGGAGAGTCTGAAAGAAAGGAAAGATTGAAGCTTTAACACTCACAGTTCTCACAGGTCAAGGCATCTGCGCAAGCGCAGGTACTCATGGAAAGGGAATATCCAGTTTCCAAGAGCAATTTTCCCTGGCTAAAGCCCCATGTGTGTTACACCACATGAAGCTCAAGCTTCAAAGCTCCCTTCCACCAGACTGTGAGAGAGAAAATTTGAAGAACCCCACTCTTAAGGCACTAATCTTAGCCTTGGATCTTTACTACGACAGCATAACCAACAGCTAAACCATGGGTGCCCACCACCTGTCATTCCATGAGAACCAGAGATAACATTTTCTTCAGCCTCAGCTTCTTATCTTTTTCAGACAGGACATCCAGATACAAAGACTAGCTGTATTTCTGTGGACAATACAATAAAAGCTCCACCCCTGCCCTGAGCTGCACAGAGGCTGAGGAAACACCATGAGATCTAAGGTATTTCTTTCTGCTTATACTTCCATAGGTTCTAGAAACTGAATCTGCAATGTTATGCAACTGAAATTCTGGGGAGTATTGCATTTTTTAAACAGATGGTAGCACCTCATAAAGATAAACAATACAATTTTCCAAAAGATACAGATTTGCAGTAAAATAAAAATCTACCTTTGCCTATTTAGGGAAGTGAGGCCTAAAAATGATTAAAAAAAAAAAAGATTTCTACAAAAGCAAAGTTGCTGCAATGAAGGTTTTACAAAGTAGCATGAAAGATTTCAAAGCTCTGTACACAAATTATGTCCCACATCAAAAACATTTTCACTGTAGAACAAATATGATGCACAACAAAACCATTTCAATCCAGGTTATCACTTGTGTCAACAAATTCCAGGCCAAGGTGGCTACAAAGACTCATATTACACCACTATGAGTCCTTGGGTGACTGAAATACTTTCTCAGTTAACATTCTGACCATGTATTACATCATAAAACAACATCTTTAAGACAGCAGAATCAATGAAAATATTGTCAAGCCATGCAATGGCTCAAAGCATTTAGGCTAAAGATCAATAGTCATTTTATCTCAGAAATGGTAAAACTGGTTATAAATGAAGTTAACAAGGTTTCTTCTGAATCCAGACCTTATTTGCTCAACTTTCCCAGCAAGCAAAACCCCACTGCTTCATTTTTTGCACTGATTTTATACTCAGAGGTAACATTAATAGTTATTTAAAAAAAACTCTAGATCATAATTCCACATTAAATGTTGAAGGTCACATTTTTAAGCATTTCAGAGAAAAGTGCTTTGTAAAATGAGATGAGCTTGGTTTGTTTTCTTAACAAGAAAGGAAGACACCAAGGGAACGATACAGCGCTGGAGAAACGAGATCAATTTAAGAACAATTATACACTTTGAAGTTGCAATCCATTACAAGCATAAGAGCAAAATTAAGAGCCAAAATCTGGGGAAGGAAAACAAAAACACTCCAAAATTGTTCAGCTGATATCATGACATTAGACACCAGTTTGCTCTGCTCAACCTTTGCCTTATGCGCTCTGGTCTTCTCTTACCTGGATAACAATTTCTGATGAACTCTCTTCAACTTTCTTTTGTGATATATTCTGAATGTGTATGAACTGGTTTGTTGTAGGCATTCCTTGTGCATCGAGTTTCCTCTCCGTTAAAGTAGGGCCAACAGCAGGAGGACTTGAAGTGGATTCTGCACGTGTCTGTTGCTGGGGGATGGAAGTCGCCGTCATCCCTACCGCGGTCACCCTCGGCACCTGGGTAGAAGGTGACGACTCTGCTTGGCTAGCCAGGTTACTAGTGGACATGGCCTTGTTGGGGGGCTCCACTACCATGTGTCCTACGTTTGGGTCACTCTGAGCTTCCACCATAGACACTCTCAACATATCTGCTACCGCTGTCTTCGCGGGTGCCTGCGTGGGAAACAGGCTGGTAACCGGCAACGCCAGTTTGGGCACAGAACTGTCACCTGCTACCTTGGAAACAGAAGGAGGCTGATGCCCCTCCAAAGTTATCTTTGTAACACTGGATCTTTGCGTTGTAATTGGAGGCTGCACCTGAAAATCAAATTTTTGTTGTGCATGTTACAGCTAGATTATTATTGTTATTAATTAATTACTATTTGTTGTTGTTAACTGAAAAAAATCTAATCAATATTTCCAAGGACAGTATGGCACAAACAAGATACTTGCTATTATGAAGACAGTTGAAACTCAGTGTTTTAACAAAGGAATTAGCAATTATATGGTAACAGTTAATTGAAGCCTGGGGAAAAGCAGCTTTTTAGGCTGCTAGATAAGGATTGTAGCAGTAATAATACCACAGCAGCCTCGTTTTCCTTTGGGATTTACATCCCCATGTGATGTTTTGTTAAACCTTTTTGATTTATATATATTTCTGTAGAAGGCCAAAAGAAAAAAAAACAACTGTACTTTTCTGGAGTTAAACACGTGATTTCTTTTTTTTTCCACTTGCCTTAGTCTTTACATTTTCCCCTCCAGAGGAAAATTAAATTACTCCTGTAACCTCAGGAAGATGTAAACTACAAAGGAAGACGTGCAAGGGAGAGCCTTAGAAGACTGCAGTGTATCCATCTTTATTTCCACAGAAATAAAAAGTGCTACTTTGGGAATGGAAATTAATAACGTGTCATATCTAAAATATTAAAAGAAAATAATTAGGGACAAATTCCATGCACCAGTGGTGGCAGAAATTCATAAAAACTGTCCAACAAAACACGTTTGTGAGCTCTATGGAGTATTTTTTTTTCCCCTAGAACATGTGCTTCTCTTCCCTAGTGTCAACCTTCTGATGGGGTAATTAATACCAGCGGAATGAGGAGTTTTCTCTCTTGCCAGGACAAAACACTGCTACAGCGACAGGGTTGGTGTTTTGATTTGTGTTTTGGTGTGTGGTTTGGTTTTTTTTTTTCCTTGAACAGCAATTTTGCATGCTATCAATATTCCGTTACCTGGCTTGCTGGCTGTTTCTCTGAAGAGGCAGGTAGCTGCATTTGACTCTGGGGGGGTTGGGGTTGCACGTAGATTTTTTGTGCCGTTGGTGCCTGTTGCAGTTTGGGCAGCTGCTGCGTGGTTTTTACTGCAAGCACCTGTACTACAGTTTGCTGTGGCTGGGCCACTAAGGTAGGGAGTTGCCTTTCTTTGGCCATCATGTGGTGGGGGGGGTGCTGTGCATCTGGTTTGGTCTGTGCTTGCTCTTGCTGCAGGGGGGTTAGCTTTTGATGCCTTATAGAAAGCTGGGGCATTTGTGGGAGTTTGTGCTGGATTTGATCGGCCTGCAGGTGGATTGTCTGCTTCTGCTTGGTCTGGAAACACTGCAGGGTTTTCACTTGCAGTTGAGTCTGTTCCAGCTGTGGCTGACTCAGTTTTTGCTGTTTTTGTGCCTGTGATTGTGTCAGGGCAGATCTGTAAAACAGGCCGGTCTGAGGATCTAAGGTGTCCATCTCTTCCACTTCTCCTTCCTCAGTTCCAAGTTGTTCACTGTGTTTGGTAAATGCAGTGTGACTGCTTAAGGCCTTAATAAGAATAAGAAGTTAGAGCAAATTAGTAAAGAGAAATATAAATGGTAAGAATATACCACCTAAAATTAAAATTTCATGTTTCAACTCGACTACTTTAACTTATTTGACCATTACAAACTCCCAATTCATGTATAAAAACATACCCTTAAATAGATTTTCCCAATATATAAGCAATCAATACCTATTTTTATCCTGTGTGTCTATGTGGTGTGTCTCTACATGTAAACATTAAGTGCAAAACTAATCCTCAGTGGAGACTAAGCAGCCCTTGTGTGTCAGCTTAAGGTTTAAAGTCCCTAAGGTTCCATGGCAGTTGGACATAAAGCAGCAGGGATTAAGCAGGTGGTTGAACCAGTAGCTCTTCATTAAAGCCAGAGCCTCTCTGCACTATAAATTCAATCATTCTGCCTCTTGAGAGTCTGGTCACTCCTCCATTATTCCTCCCGCAGCTCCCTTTATTACAGTCTACCCTATTTCAGCAGAGATCCCTTCTTTGCCTTTCTTCCTCAAAATTTATTGCAGTTTTTCTTGGGCTTTGCACAAACACTGATTTTTTTTTGAGGGATTTGAGGGAGCAAGAAATCTACCTTAATATGCTTTGTATGCCATGGTATTAATAAATGTTTAGCAAGATGAAGCAGCCTATTCAAATATTGGACAAAATACACTCCCTGAAGCAGGTTTCTAAGCCTAACACAGCACTGTCCTGGTCCACAGCTGAAGTTTCTACAAGTTGAAGTACTGCAGATTTGAGCAGGTCTTGAAGAAAGGCATCAAAGTGGCTTCAGTAAGATTCCACTATAAGCTACGCTTGTTTGTTTGAAGTGCTTGGGATCCTCACAGCTCTGGTTTAAATATGAACTTACAAAAGTAAGATTCGGAGGTTTGCCTATTCACAAATTAAAGCCCTCAAAAATACAGTGTGTGCTCTGTGTACTGGCCAAGATTTTGCTTCATCCCTCTTCCCCCTACACTAATATCAATGTAATCTAAGCAGCCTAGACCCTGGCAATAAAACACACAGAAGAAAGCAGTTTGCTGCTGTGAAGAGATGACATACAGATAGGAAGAACTCATCTAGGAAGCACTATCTTCTCCACAGTGGCTGTTAATACCTCTTACTTAACAGTCTTGAGTAATCTCATTAACTGCTTCCCTTTTATCCCTCCACCCTCACCATCAAAACAGGCAGTACTGAATTTCAGTTATTCACTTGCCCTGACACTTAGCGATTTCAGTGGCAGAAACATGATACATTAATTCAGAACATGCCCTGGTCCTATATAGTTCATATCACTCACTACTGTTTATAGACTGGGAAAAGAAAGGGTACAACCTGCTGCATGATATGGGTAATGGAGCCTGTGGAGGATGCAGGGATAGATTTCACCACGACTGAAGTCTGTGTTGCTGTCTGCGACTGAGCCACGTGCTGCAGCAGAGTCCTCTGGGGTTGAGATGACTGCTGGTGGGGCTGGGACCTATGACTGACTGAAAGCAAAGAGGTCAGTGGAACTTCTCCAGAACTAGCTGCAGTAACTTCAACTATTCACTTGGCATTTCAGTTTCAAATAAAATCATACATGAGTGAAATAAAGATCTGAGTACAAGAAACGTCTTTTACTGTATGTCAGCTTCAACCTCAAAGTGGAGATCTATTCTGAGAAGCCTCTTAAAGTAGCAACTCAGGGGTTTTGCTTTTGTCTGAGTTTCCTAAGTAATCATGCTTGATCCAAACCTCCTCTGGCCTCCTTCTCCCAAAACACTAACTTTGCAAGGAGAATTTATATTCAGTTTTTAGCTGGGTTCTTTATACAGCACCAGCATAACACTGTAGTGCACGTGTTATTCTGTGTTAAAAGCATCTGCACAATTGACTGCAATTAAGAACAGCAAGCCCTGCTCACTGAATTTCTACCACTGATAAACTGCAAGGAATACTCTCCAGAGTACTGGCTAAATTTGAAAGATCAGCAAGTAGGAAATGTTTGGGTATTATGAAAGCAAGTGAGATTGATCAGAAAACAGAGACCAAAAAATGCAGACCATGTCATGGGTCTAACAACACGTTTTAGAACAGAACCAGTATGTTCACCAGCTATGGTGATGGCTCTGTAATTAAATAGTGGGTTTATTCTAATTAAAAAACCCTCAAAGCATTCTATATTGCAGTCACTGATAAGACATGAATCCATATTACTTTATGCCTGTCCATACTAAGATGGTTAATATTAGCTTTTTACTTACAAAATCATTAATAACTGAAGGAGAACAAGCGAAGTCTAAACTCAGCTGTAACATTACTGAAAAATTTTCTAGTGACCTTCCTGTAAGTTAAAAGAAAGGTCATACTTTGAGTTTATATGATCATTTTACTTTCCCACTCCAAGAAAGGAGTTGGGCTCTATCAGTACTGGCCTGCGTGCTGTGCCAGATCCATTATGGATATTCCCCCAACAGTTCCTGCACAACTGAAAACTCCATTTAAAAATAAAGTTTCTAACCTATATGGTTGTGTAGATATTCTTCCGAATGTGAACCAATACAGTGTTGTCTTCCTGAGTCTGCAGACAGACAAAAAATGGTGACACTAAGATGTGTGAACTGCTCCCTTCATCTCATGAGGAAGCACATGCTGGATCCCAGCTCCCACACACATCCAAGTGGGCCTAATCCTTTGGTCTAGGTGCACACTGGAAATTTCACAACAGGTTATAGACTGTTTACTATTTTACTACTTAATGTTAGTAGAAAATATAGCTATGTGGATTACTGATGAATCCTGAAAAGCAGAAAACAACAACAAAAAAAACCCCTCGATTACCTGCGTTCCTTGGCAGTGATCAGAGAAACTGGGGGAAGGGGAAAAGTCTAAGAGCAAAATAACTACAGTTTTGTGCTGTAGCTGAAACTGCTGCTTCAGAATCCTAGGATGGTGAAGGCTGGAAGGGACCGTAAAGATCATCAGGTCCCAACCCCCCTGCCATAAGCAGGGACACCTCCCACCAGACCAGGCTGTACAAGCCTCATCCAACCTGCCCTTGAACACCTCCAGGGAGGGGGCAGCCACAACCTCCCTGGGCAACTGTTCCAGTGCCTTCCCTTTTAAGGGCCCTATGTAACATCAGCTCTTACAGCACATTCCAGGAAAATCTGAAACCTTGACTAGAAGCTCCATGTACAGGAGTCAGGGAAGATAACTGACTGTTAATTCAAGATCACTTTAACACTGTTTATTGTACTTTTGAGTTTGTTTTACAAGAGATCCAAGGGAGCACGATTTAAACATTCAAAATTGAAGCCAGATACAGTAAGTGTGTTATTTAAAAGAGCAACAATAACATCCCTAACTTAAATTTAGACCATACAAGGGATGGAAGCAAGGGGAGGAGGTACAGAGCAGGCAAGTGAAAAATCAAAATATCAGATAAGAAATGTAACACTGAAAAAACAGATATGTACTTATACATTTTAATATAATCAAGTTTTGTTCCTCTTTTCCAATGTGGATTTTCAACACACTTCTTTCATTTTTCAAATAAAAAAGGGAGATCAGTAATGTGGAGGTAAGAAATTAAAATGGAAAACAGGTAATTTGATCCTCTCAAGTACGAATGTGAAGTGGCTCACACCTGGTGTTCTGGGATAGTAGGGAGCACCAGACAGAGCAGTCAAGGACTTCCACAAAATGGACCACCAGATAAGAGGAGTCAACAGTTTCAAAAGCTAAGTACTGAATCCCAACTATGATTCCAATTTTAATAACTTGTTTAAAGAGTGCAAATGTATCAGTTCAAAACCTTCTAGCAAATGAAAAAAAACTGGGGACTACATTAGCCTGCTAACTGCACACCTGGCATAAAAAAACCACTTGGTCCTGGTTCTTTCAGCAAGAAAGGTTTTGCAAATATGGGTTGAACTAACTGAAAAGGCTTGAGGCCTCTCAATACAAATAAAAAAAACCACCACAGTTCCTGTAACTTCATTTTCTACTTACCAGTTGTGATATATTCAGCAACTAATTCCGACTCTACTACAGCAATGGAAGGACTTTCTGGAGAATGCCTCTTTTCCTGGGCCATCTGGATTGGGACAGCCATTTGGCTCAAGTCAATGGTTGGCTGCCTTGGCTTGGATTCTAACTTTTCCTTCACTGCTTTGGAAGAGAAGAAGAACATAAAATAAACCTCCAACATATAAACATCCGTAATAAAATGAACTTCCAATATGAATGCAAAAGTTTAATTAAACAATAAAAACTATGTAAGAGGTTCAAACTGTTGTAGGGTAAGAAAGGAATCAAGGTGATTCAAGATAAGCGCTTTTCAGTTAGAAAACTTCTCACAAACTTGCTGCTTAAGCAAGCAATAATTTGAAGTTATACTAAACAACTGCATGGGTTTTCACACCTGTTGTCTGCTGAAGTTCCAGCAAAGCTTTTATGGTGGAAGTAGCTGACTGAGATTCACTGGATACATCCTGGTAAATTATCGTCGGGCTTGTGTCCACAGCAATTTCATGTTCTGACCAGTCTTGACTCCTTGAAGCAATCACATGAACTACAGGCTGAGAATCTGCTTCCAAAAGAACAAAAGCACATCAGGTCATTACAGAACCATTCTGGGTCAGAAGTCTCTTATCCAACTTCTTGCTTTAAGTCAGGGTTACAGTTCAAAATTGTACCAGGTTACTCATTATCCATTAGTGTTTTGAACCCTGCCAAGAACACATACACATTCTGCAACACTTCAGTTTTTATTACAAGTGACTCTTGAAATAAAACTCTTAGTGCTATAAGCAGTTTCCAGAGAAAAAAAGCCTGTACCTTAGTTTTTTGTAAAAGCTTTGGTTTGAGCAATCAGACTTGAGCAGGTTCTTTGTATGTTGAATATCCCTTGGACTGAACTCTTTTTCATAAGGTTTCATCAGATCACAAGTTCTTCAAAAATACTTAAAATTATACTACAGACCAACAGTTGCAGAACAATATAGAAAAGGTGGCTGGAATGCACATAAGTACATGTTTCCCTAAGAGACATTTGCTTTTATTTAATGCAGTGATACACTCTATGGTCACCCCTGACCAACCGCTGGGTGTTATTTATGCCCTATTATTCATCCTCCACATAAGAGCAGTTCTATCTGTATCATGGCTTGAAGCCATGGCAGCATTCCCATCAGGATTGCATGTCCTGATGCACATATATGTGCCTACCAAAATTATTGCTGGTCACACAAGAGCTTCCAGTCATGCAGTGGAGAGATG